GATATACCAAAGATATATTTAATGTGTAAGACTGGTCAACATAACGTATGAACCACTTTTAGCAGTAAAGTGCAACATCAAAACTATTAAAAAACCTAAGATTCATGTACACTTATATCCTACTTGACTTTGTTTTGAAATTGTTACCAGTTTTGTACTGCAGTAACATGGAGTTGCTTATCTACAAGGAAGTGCACATTTAAAATAATTAGTGTAGACCTAAATAAAAGCTTTTAGTCGTCGTGTTATAATACCACTACATTGAATTAAATTAAGTAATTTTTAATAAATCATAGAAAAAGTAATTTCTTTTAAATCTAATAATTGAATCAAATAATAAATTTTGATATAATTATAATTCCGTTAATCTAACACATAGCCTCCTCATGTCTAAAGTCTTTCAATCTTGTAAAAATTCAGGTAATTATGTAGCATTGTATACAATTTAGTAGATTTAGCAGTGGAATCTTGATTTATTATTAAACATTACTATTGTACCTATAAAAATATAATAACTCGAGGACACAAGATAAATAAACGTTCCATCCCCAAATTTCTACTTTGTTTATTCATGAATAAGATCTGACATTGTAGCAAATTTAAAAATTTCTCTATATTCAAATTTTCGTAAAAAAACCAATTGCCTAATATAATTTTGAAATATCTCATTATCTATAATTATCTAAAATGTAAATTTCTATCTACCGTGAAATATAAGGATGTTAATTTAATAACATAATATTCTATTTTTCTCATTAATTGTATTAATAAAATAATATTTTACTAAATTAACATCGTAATGTAAGGCATTATTATGTGCACTGTGAGAATAAAGTTACGATAGATCTACTATCTATATCATACCACAAATGTTATAGAAGCTTATTATACAATTTAAAAAATACAGTCTATTCACCGACATATATGAGAATCATAATGATCATATATGTATGTAACTATTTGAAACAATTTAAAGGACGTTTTAAAAAAAGACCTTCTTCTGAAACTATGTTAAAATCATTAGAACGTGTCGTTAAAATTTCTGAAATATATTTTCTCATCAACTCATAATTCTATATTTGTTTACAGAAGTCATACGGCTTTTAAATGTAAATCTTCATTTTAATAAAAAAATATCTTAACATTACACTTTCAATTAGTAACAGCAATTCCGACATGTAACATATGGTACATATGTAGAATTAATATATGTATGAACTTCTAAATTCATTTTCTTGCTTTCAAACCAAGCTTTTAAAAATACATACGCACTTTCGTGGGCAATATTGGAAAGTTTAAGAACTAAGCAATTAAGCTTACAGAATAGTGTATTGAATATTTTATATACTTTTGTGACAAAAGAAACCTACTTAACTGTTGAAAATCAATGGATTTATTCAATAATCTCTATTTATCATATCACTGCAGATTCAATAACTAAACAACGAACCATATGACTTATAATTGTATTTTTAAACATATATAATTACATATACAACCGATACGTAGGTAGATATATATGTAATGTATTGTTGCAAAATATTAATTTAGAGATTTGACCGAGATAAAAGAGATATTAGGATTAGGGAATGAAATGTGAAAGTATTTCGATTGTCCATCTTACGTAATGACAATAAAATATGATTAAGAGACTGGTAACTTGTAGTGTTAAACAATTTGAAACATTGAAGTAAGAAATATTGAGAATAAGCGAAGAAATACAAGTAAGGGAAGATTCAAAGAGGCTTACTGAAATGATTGTAACGGGAGATGATATCGAGGGAACGTTAATCAAAATCAAGAACATGGTAAAATCGAAGAAAGAAACAAAAATCGAAGAGATCGACATAATGAAGCTACGACAGCTTCACGAAGAACTGAAGGAATTGAAATTAAATACAATAAACGAAAAGAAAGAACTAAAGGAAAGATTGAAGAATTATGTACAGAGGGAATTGGTAAAAAAGAGAGAAAATGGCATCACGCAACAAGTATTCTTGTATTTTTCCATTTTGTATCATCACTTTATTTTATTAGACATTATTTTATTGTTGCGTAAAAGACATTCCTGATCCCTCATTCAAAATCCCATTATATTACATATATTGATGTTATATCGTATTGTATTGATACATGATTATATGTATAATATTCTATTATGTTCAACGCCTCCTACTGAATTTTCATCTTACCAATGAACAGTTTATGTAGGTGACACGATTGTTTTTAAAGGCAGATAAACCGATATGCATGACGTAAAGGAATTCGTTTCGATACTGTTATCGACGCAGCGCATTGAATCTCGACCTGCACATGCTTCCATTAAAAGTAACCTCCTTTATACGTGTATGTGCATTTTGCAACATTTGTTGCGCTAGTTTAAACATCACTTTACTCCTTGAAGCATGAAATAAAGAAAACGATTTGCGGATTCGTATTAAAACTCAGGCACCGATGAAAATACCAGAAAATAATGAAATATGTAGCAAAACACAAGCAGATCGCATTTATTTTGATTTAACGACAAATCGTATATTGATTTCCTTTGCTGAACGAAAGCCATAAAGCACCACGACGACAGGAAGCATTTATGGTTTGGCCATGCTTCCCACTTTGAAGAATTTTATTCAATACAAGAAACAATAACAAAAAAGCTGTAGAAATTTGCGAAAAACGTAATTCTTTCTTATACTGAAAAGGAATATATTAATCACTAAGCATGCCAACGTTTTAAATATTCTTGCATACTTTACAGCAGACGATAATTCACATATTTACTTAGATATGTTTTCTATCTTTTAGAATTGTTTTCCATACATGAAAATGACATTTTTTTAAACATTAATACAATAAAATATATTAGATTGTTCTTTTCATCATAAAAGGAATCAACTAGGAACTATGAAAATGTAAGTCTGAAAATAACAATTGTACATTTATTCTTAACCTATCTATATTCTTTGGGTATTTCTCTATTGGTTAAAATGTTCTTGAAAAGGGTATGAGAAAATCGTTATTAACGCGCGCAATTTTTAATTCTAATTTTATGCTCCTGTCTTTCTTAAATCATTATAAGAGTACATATCTTTGTTTGTTGAAATGAAAGCAAAATTAGAATATATAATTCGAAGACCGTAGCAAGATTAATCATATCGTATAAGGAAATTTATATAGTATATGTAAGCGTAATTCTGTCTCTATCTACATAATCAGTTGGGCGTTTCTGTCATCTCGTATAAAAACAAACTTGAATACATTAATCCAATGTTTCACGATTGATTACTTTTTATATATGAATTTATTGTAAACAAAAAAATGTTAAAAATTCCATCCTTTTAATAATAATCCTATGGAAACTATAATACGTGATAAATGGTTTATACGATGATAATTAATTTCACTTTCCACGAGTACTGGACAACACAACTTTTTTTACTGAATAATTATATTTATCTATATCTTAATAACTTGAATTTCATGCTCAAAGAAGGACATCTTATTTATTATTTTTATTATTTAATACGATGACAATACTAACAAATGATCTTCAAGAGATCTTGAAGACATAAGCATCAATGCTACTGAATAAAATTATTGCAAATCTATAATATTCAATCTCTCTCTCTCTCTCTCTCTCTCTCTCTCTCTCCCCCCCTCTCTCTCCCGATTAAGATGCCAGATGATATAAATGCTATAATATAATACTAATATAATAAAGTCAAAAAGCATCATTATATCCGTTTGGCAATTTCTCTTAAGTCACCTTCCACTTTTCTTTAAAAAGTTATATTTATTCGCATTATTAACAATTTTGAAATCAATATTCATATTTAACTACGTCACGTTGATATGCAACCCACCAATGTTACTCTGATAATGTATTACACGTACATAGGATAAACTATCGCTAGATATGTATCGTGCAAGTGCATATCGTCACTTCTTTTGCATGGTGTAATCCTTTCTTACTTAGAACGTTAAGGTATTATAATCGATTAAAATGCCAAATGTATCTGTTGAATAAATATGCAATTATAAATATTCCGAAAAGATTAAAGATCACATTGTTCTTTTGAATTATTTGTAATTCGATTTGTATTGAAAATTCATAATAATCAATTTCTTAACTCCTACTAACTGATAATCGTAATTATGAACGAATCGAAATTTTTTATTTTGAAAAAGTTTTAGTAGTAAGATAGTGCAAAGAATGTATCTTATACACGTCTACATTATTTTCCTTTCCTCATTTCTTTATTATAAAGTTCTAATTGATAGAACCTTATCATAATTCATATTATATCATAATTTACAAAAAAATTCACGTTATTTCTAAACCAGAAATACTTTTGTACTTATTAGTATTTCATATATATATATACTTATATATGTCCATACATACGTATACACTAGACTTTATTCCTTTATAACCTGTATTCAATGCTATTCATCGAAATTACACGCATTAAAGAATATGGTAATAAACAGAACTTAGCAACAAATACATTCAGCTATTTTGCATCTATTTAAATTTGTAGCTGTATATTTGCTTAAAAGTAATATATTACAATAAAGATAATAATAATATTAGTAACTTCAGGAACACAATATAATATGTATGGTCGTTTTTAATTCAAGATTATTTTTATGATATTTTGATTCTACATTTATATTACTAATAGCGGTGATATCATAGTATATATTGTACAACATATATCCACTATGATAACATTAGTGATATTATACTGACATATTAATTTCATAGTTAGAAAAATGGCTATAGTTGTCAAATAAAAAGTCAAACGATAAAAAACGTAGTATGCAATAAATGCTTCTAAATTGGGTCATTCCACTTATAAACCGAAAACAGCTTTTAGAAAAAGATAATACTATATATTCAAAATAACATAGCATATTTTAATCTATTTTAACGCTAGTACATGTAATTTGAAATAGATGTGTAACTTATAAGTTAATAGTTATAGTATATCGCTACTGACCTTCTTTACTTGAAAATGTTCTGGCCGTAAATTTTCGACGATTTCCTGATCAGGTTTGACGGGTTGCGGTACCGATGATCGGAACCCGTCGAGCACGCCTTTAATTGTAAACTTCTTCATTACGAACCGAAGATAACACCTAAAGGATCACATGTGCAGCAGCAACACAAATTCAAGTCTTCCTAAAGTTCCAAGTCAAAATACGTAATTTTGAGAAAATGGAATTAACAAGAAAATTCGAAATTTCTTATGACAAAAATTTTCAATATGTTCTATTTAAAAGTTCCTTTTTCCGTGAAAAACTAACGATGACATCTTTGCGGATGAATGGAAAGTAACACTCATCGATATTTCGAGTCTTACGGGACCTCTTCTACATTTTGACAGAATAACGATAACGTCGGAGAGGCACTTCAGCACATTTCGAGATCGTAGTACTTTGTGTAAATATAGACGCACACGTTACCGTAACCGTTTGTCGGCGCGTTTTTACAAATGCTGCGTGACCAGAATTGTTTTCGTAGTTAACAGCAATGCAGTGTTGTTTAATCGTGTCAGGATCAATAACTGGCAACAGGCTCATGTGGATTCTTGCATGACCGCGAACCTACCCTGTGCGCAATCGTGAACAAACCTTTATGGCAAGTTTTTATGTCAAGTTCGTATCATCATAAAGGTAGTCCAAAATGTGGTACAACAATAGATAGTTACTCTCGGCATATTGATCTGTGTAAATTAACTATTAATAGCAACTTATAAATCTGAGTTATCAACAATAAGTTAAATTTCGATTTATAGTTATAAGTTTCACATTTGACTATTTAGTTATAAATTAAAGCGTTTAACGAAATTGTATTTTAGAATACTGGATATAAAATTAATTAAATAAATGTCAGCGAAATTTGTTTGTAAGATTCATTAATTTTAAGCTAATAAAGGTTTTACATGCATTCTTCCAATATATGTATCAATCGTAAATTCATTTCAATTGGATGATAATTCTTAGGTAGTTTATGCAATGACAAATAAGCACTTGTATAAATATATATGAATAATAATTAAACAGTATCATCTATATAAGAAAAATAAACAATTTCTTTCTCATTTTTAAATTATTTATTTTTAAATATTTCTATGTACAATACGCTGAATAAAGTAAATTAAAATCATAGTCATAAATTCTAAACGGCTCTTGATACTACCAACTTTATGAATAACCTAGTGCTTTTTCTAGTACTTTTACAAAGTATATTTATATTATATCTGATTATATTTATATTTACAAAATATATCTGTAGCCTGCCCAACGAGATGAGACAATAAACGTAAATAAAACGTGATTATTACGACTGCAACTATTGATTGTCGACTAGTGAAACTCAAGTGTCACTAATAGAGGGACTATAGACCTTTTTATGAAATTTAGACCTATTATCCGACTTTTGTCAAATAAAGTTTACATACATATAATATATATAATGACATTAAATTGAATCATTACAAAGTTTATATCGCCTAAAACAACCTGATATTTTACAGTACTACTAATAATAATATTTTATAATAGAATACAATGTTCTTTACATTGAAAATTGATAACATATATTACGGTAAAGGAAACATTTCTAAAATATTGTTTTTGTAACCTTTCGGATCTAAATATAATCAATTCAATTAACTTATATATAGTAATATATGTGTATATATATAAACTTAAATGTAATCGCAGAGAAAATTTGCTCTTATAGTTACATATATGTAACATATTTAATTATGATATAATATATTTATTTGATATACAAATGTACAGTATATTATATTATACAAATATATTGCAAAATAAAACAAATTTAAACATTCGTTTAATAGAATGTTAAATAATTAAACTCCTTCGAAATATTTACATATGTTCATTGTATATACAGTATTATGTAAGTACAATATTCATTTTTAAGTGAATTACAGAATATAATCAGATTTTCTTATATCCAACTTTTTACATACTTGAACATTTTGAACTGCTTATATAATCACTATTTTAAATACATATTATCTGCAATATAGAGTATTATATGTGCATAAAATGAACAGAATTCAGCATAAGGTTACCATAATTTTTTTATATAAATATTTTTAATTTAATGCGTACACATTACTGTATAATTAAATTTCGACATTATGTACTTACTAATTAATAAATATGTATATTTAAAATATTATACAACACAACTATTGTTTCAGGAAATTTCTTAGGGAGAATTGTATAGGTTAAGAAGTTTCAAAATGATGAGTCCAGGTAATGTAACACCCAAATTTCGTGATATTTTCAACATACCAACAAAAGATATATTAAGATGGTTCCCTGGACATATGGGTAAAGGCTTAAAAAACATGCAAAAACAGTTAAAAAACGTAGATTGTATCATTGAAGTTCATGATGCAAGAATTCCAGTTTCTGGGCATTATGCAGATTACAGCAATACATTGACTGGATTAAAACCTCATATTTTTGTATTAAACAAAATGGATTTAGCTGATATGAAATTTAAGAACTCTATAGTGGAAAATTTAAATCAAAAGGGATTATCTAACATATTATTTACTAGTTTTAGAAATGTAAAATGTGAAGGTGCTAAAGAATTATTACCTTTAGCACAAAAATTAATTAAGGAATCAAATCGCCATAACAGAGCACATGAGTCTTCATTTCAAATAATGATCATTGGCGTTCCTAATGTAGGGAAATCATCACTTATCAATCGTTTAAGAAATAATATTCTTCGTAAAAGTAGTGCTGTGCCAGTTGGCGGTATTGCTGGCATTACACGATCTGTATCAACACGAGTGAAAGTATCAGAAAAACCAGATATCTATGTTTTAGATACACCAGGAATTTTAACTCCCAAAGTAGATAATATGCATACAGGCTTAAAATTAGCATTAGTTGGTTGTATGCAAGATCATTTAATAGGTCCAGAAATATTGGCAGACTTTTTATTATTTTGGCTAAATAAACAGAAACGATTTGAATATGTTGAAAAATTAGAACTAAGAGAACCACATGATAATATATCATACATTCTTACATATATTGCAGCAAAATTAAAAAAGACTTTAAGAATAAAGAATTATGATGGTAAAATAATTATAAAGCCAGACTTAAGGTTTGCAGCAGAACATTTTCTTTCTTTATTCAGAAAAGGAGAATTAGGCTATTATTGTTTAGATGAAGATTTATTACTGTCAAAATGAAATTTAAATATAAAATATATAATTACAAACATATTACGTTTTTTGTTAGAAATTTAAAAATATTTTCAACTATATATATATATCAAAACAGTATATCATAAGATTTCTGCTTGTGTACAATAAATCTTAATAATTTTGATATTTAAAAATAAATTTCCATAATTCTATATATATAATAATGATCAGCATTGCTATTATTATCATATAATTATTCCTCTTTATTCAAATATGGGACATTATATATCATAGCTAATGTATCTACATACGTATATACATATGCATGTATTTGATTAGCAGTTAAATATATATAGAAAAAATGTAATCTTATTAATAATTATATTAATTAAAAAAGTAAAAAGTGATAAAAGGCTATTAGAACAAAGTAATATTATTTAAGATAAATTAATATCAAGAACTATAATAAATAAAATAATTGCATTATTTAAATGTTTCTTTAATAAATAAAAAACGATATAACAATATTAAAGAATAATGGCAAATACAATATAATCTTGATTACTATTGAAGAAAATATTTAAAAAGCTATATCATATACATTATGTCATATATAAACAGAATCTGTGCATTAATAATATTTTAATCAGTTTTCTATAAAATCAATAGGATTTTGAAAAAAAAAGTATAGTTATGTACATGTAATTGTGGGATAATTATAACAATGATAATCATAATTAAATAAATATGTATATTATGAAAGTAAGTCATTTGATATCAAAAAATTCTAAGTATTTTTATTAATTCAATATTATGAGATTGAATGTTTTAGATTCAGTAGCAACATTTCGAAGTTATAAGTAGATATACGTATTTATTTATTTAATTATAAATTTATATCTTTATTAATTTTCAAAATTATGAAATCATTTCAAAACAGATTATTTTTTATTATACAAAGTTCGATTACTTTAATTTGTTTTAAACAAAAATTATTTAGTCTATTCATTTAAATAATTTAAGGTTTCGTATAATAATTATTTATACTATATGTTGTACTATATGTTGTTGCTTATTAAAAGTGATTGCTTTAAAAAAGAATGTATGAATCTTACTACGTAACTAGCGTAAACCGTTATGTTAACATTCACTCCCTTCTCATATTGTAAATTCTGTTACTTTCACCTTGTGAACTACTTACAATATCACGACTGGTTGTAAAGTCTTTGATAAGATTTAATAAGATTGTTTAAGAAATACTTAAAATAAAATTATACTATATACGTTTATTGTATTTAACACGAAAGTTAATGTTTGATTTATATATATGTAGTGACTGCCTTACTAACGAGTTTAAATTATAGTGGCAATGTTTGCGAGGTTGACATTTTATCCAACGCTTTTCTATAATGTATTAATGGAAAAAATTTCGTCAAGAAATTGGTACGATAGAATTGATGACACTGTTATATTAGGTGCTCTACCATTTCGAAGTATGATCAAACAGGTATATTACATTACAAATTTTAATTGCATATTAAAATTGCAATAAAAATATAATTTAATTGCGAAAAAATAAGATCTTTAAAATTTTAGTTAATAAATGAAGAAAATGTCCGAGGAGTTGTTTCAATGAATGAAGATTATGAATTACAGTTGTTTTCCAATACTAAAGAGGTATATATATATATACATATATGTATACACACATATATATATAAATATAAAGATACATATATAAGAATTATTACTATATATATTTAAATAAAAATTTTTAAGTTAATATATTAAACAACACTGACAACATTGAAACATTTGATTGCACATATTTTTTAGGAATGGAAAAATAATAATGTGGAATTTTTACAACTACCTGTAACAGATATTTTTCAATCACCTTCACAAGAAAAATTACAACTTGGAGTAAATTTTATTAACAAATTTCGTGATGTTCCGACTGAATTAAATAATTCTACTAATGTTGATAAAACTTATCCTAAAACTGTTTATGTTCATTGTAAAGCAGGAAGAACACGTAGTGCAACATTAGTTGGATGCTACTTAATGAAGGTAAGATAATTATAAACATATGGATTTTTTTATAGAATTTCATATATCTTTCAAATTGAATTAAATTGAACATTATAAAAATAATCCTTGTTAGAAAAATCAGTGGACTCCAGAGGAAGCAGTAGCATATATGCAACAAAAAAGATCTCACATATTATTACGTACCGAACAGTGGAATGCATTAAGACTTTTTTATAACAACCATGTAAAACAATAATACATCATTTAGATAAATATACAGTTATTATTAAACTAATATATATATATATAAATAAAATTTTATTTGTTACAAAATTTTTATATACAAGTTAAAACATGTTTATTACTTACTAAATCTCTAATTCTTTGTAATTAATAGAGATACAGAAGTAATAGTCTATATAAAACATAAAAATATAAAATTTTGCAGAATAATAATTATAATGAAATAAAATATAAGACAATTTATGAAAAATAAAGCACCTAAATATGCTTGTTGTATTATAAAACTTGACTGAATAAAAGTACAATATTATTGCATATAATGATACAAAAATTTTATCTATATATTTATATATAATATAATTTAATCTAATATACATATTATGAAATGCAAACATTAATTTAATATATATTTCATTTACACATGGCAAGTCAATTACTAGATATTTATGCATTTATAGAAAATTTAGAAATGCAAAAGTTTGTACAATGTACATAATATAGAAAATTCTATAAAATATCCTTAAACCCCAAACATCTTAATCCATCCCTTTTTGTTTTCTTGAATACCTATAATTAATATATTGGAAATAGTATTAACAAAATTGGAATGGAGTACTTCAAAATATTATTATTAATTTAAATGTAAAAGAATTAAAACTACAGTAATCTCTAATGTAATATCAAAAATCAAATTTCCAAAATTTATATTGATGGTGATAATGACACATTGAAAACATTGATATTAATTGACATTTGAAAATTGATATCTCTCATACATATAATACACATTAGGGTTGTGCCGACTAATAGGTTAAGCTGACTATCCGTCCACTTTTGTAGTTGGCGACTAGTCGGTAAAAAAAACCATTTATCGGCCTTAAATTTTTAGTATCATAGGACATAGAAGTAAAACTACAATGAGCTTTCTTTACTGTCATTAGCATAATGTTAATATTTTTTAATATGTAGTATACTTACTTATGGGTACATATTTGCATGTAACCTAATTATTATATAAAAAATTAAAAATAATAGTTAGTATTTATTGAAATAAATTAAATAAGTAGGTACCAATTAACTAGGAACATTGATTATTATTTCTTAATTTTATTACAACAAAAAACTGTTTAAAATGAAGAAACACGACGTAATAAAATAAATACAACAAACAATTTTCTCTTTGGATTCGTAATATTATACAATAATAAATTTGACGCGATTTATAGCGGTGTTTAAAAATAATCAGCAAATAATCGGGAGCCGATTAATTGGTTAATCGGCTAGTCGGCCAAAACCCTAATCGTTATACGACTACGTCTCTAATACACATAATTATTTCTCTATTATTAATTATTGTTGACTGTTCTTAATTATTATCATTAATATATGATATCCTATATTATTATATCTTCAATGAATGTTATTCAAGGTAATATTTGGAAATTAATATTATAAAAATTTAATTGATAGATTCTAATCACAGTTATATCGCTATGCATAATACTTACTTTTTTATTTCTTGCATTTGTATGTGAAAAATTTTATCTAAATCTTTTAATTTCATTAAACACTCTTCTTTAATGAGATATGGTATTGGTATTCTATTGGGATTTTTTATCTCACTCTCAATCTTTTTACTAATTGTTTTAAATGTTTTACGTGTTACTTTTCCATTTTTCAATTCGTTTTCTAAATCCAAAATTTTATAATGTATATTTTCACCTGCCAATTTGGCAGACTTTGCAAGTGATCCTACAGTTGCTTCAAGAGTAAAATTTGATGCTCCTTTTGAGAAATAATTGAGAAAACAAAAATATTTTAATTCTCCTGTTTTAAATACATGTGTACCATAACATGCTTCTCTAAATGAAACATATACATAGTATCAGTTATCATCAAATAAAAAAATATCTAAAGAAAGAATTTTTTTTCAAAACATAGCTTTTCTTATTATTTTCTAAGAATACTTACTTTGATCTTAAATCATGAAAATTAATTTCTATGAGCCTAATATCCTTATAAAAATGAATTTCTCCTGGTATTAATGTTACAGAACTTTCTGCTAATAATTCCAAAGCATTTAATATTTTTGTAGTAACTGGGACATTAGCTATTATAACATTATTTATAAGTTCTTCAATTTCTTTCAATTGCCTGAAAGAAAGATTTTCTCCAAATGAATTAAATTGACATTTTAAGCTGTTTGGAATAATAGTAGAATTCCGTAAATAAACTGCTTGCATAATTTGTTGTATTGATGCATGTAATAAATGTGTTGCAGTATGATGTTGCATTACTCCTACACGAAATTCAGGTTCAATGGAAACCAAACAATCATCTTTAAGGTTTAGTTCTTCAATCCATTTTCTATAGGAACAAATTTTTTCTTTATAGATTCTTGCTGATACAATATTAACAACTATAATACAATTATGGTAAAAATTAAAATAAAAACTTACCTCAAATCAGTTTGTACAAATTTTCCATAATGTATAACATATCCATTAATTTTCTTCACATCATATACATTAAACGTCCAATTTTTTGAACAGATGATAGCCTTGTCTGATATTTGACCACCCTGTGTTGAATAACATAATGTTTTATCCAATATAAGTCCAATTTTATCTTTATCTGATTCTGCATTGTAATTTGTAATTGTCTCATTAACAGTTGAATGTATATTTTTGTTTGTATTTTCATTTGCTTTATTTATTATTGTATTATCTGAAACAAAGAAATTATGTACTCTTTTACTATATTATTTGAATTTAGGTAATATGAAATCAGTATACACAAACG